TTCATCTTACTAATTTCATGAACTTTCTTTGAACATAGGAGACTGTCCCTTAAGCATTTCTTTAGGGAATCTTTCAACTATTTTATTTTGTTATTCACATATAAGCAGCTACTGAAAATGCCTTATGACCTATAGAAGCTTTGAAAAATTTACATTTTAAACCATAAAACTTACCTGTTCATTACACAGAAAAGAAACACTAATCCGACCTCAATAAGTACGTTAATTTCTATATCACTATAAGATCTAGTCTAGGATATGAGAAAAAACCCATCTTGAGCTGAGCTACAATAGTTAAAAATAAATGTGGGTCTCCATTTTGAAAACATGAATTATCTGGATGTATTGTCATAAAGTGCTGCTAATGTTTAACAGATTAATAGTCATGAATGAAAATATGCGCTATAAGAATCGCTGATAAACTGGCAGTTTAGCTTTGAGGTAGCTTGCTTTAAATAAATCTTTTACTGTGAGTGTTGGAGTCTTGGCTTTGTAAGCTTAGCACTTAGTTTCAGTTTTAAATTTATACTTGGGTGCACATTGTGGACATTCATTACCATTTTAAAGATCTTCCTATTAAAATAACTATTGATAGCTATTGAATCTGTGTTAGTCTTGATGGAGAGGGAGGAGAGAGTGGAGAGAATAGGGTGAGATGGAATGGGATGGGTTAGGATAAACTAATAGAATGGAATAAAAACAGGCAAAAAAACCCTATTGAGATTCTGGTAGATTGTGTGTGTGTGTGTGTGTGTACTCGTGTGCGTGCACGAGTGTGCATGAGTGTGCTTGATACTTGTTATTCACCACCAAATACTGCCTATCAAGCCTTCATAGTCTCCTGTGTGATTAGTAGCAAAATCTTATGTAAGTATGTTTGTGGCTGATCTTTTCCCAGACTAATGTATATCACTGCTGTTAGTAATTAGTGATTTGAACATGTGGTCCTCTGCACTGGTTACTTTTGTTGTTGTTGTGATGAAATGCATGGCAGGAAACAACTTAACAGAGGAAACATTTATTTTTGCTTATAGATTGAAAGGATACAATCCATTGTGTAGTGGATGGCTCGGTGGCACATGGCTTTATGGTGGCTAGTGATATACAACCAGAACTCCTGATCTTAGAAAGGAAACAGATTAAAGAAGAAATACAGATGAGACATAACCCCAGGGATCTCCCTTAGTGTCCTACTTTCTCCAGAAAAGCTCCAGCTTCTAAAGGTTCAAAATATCAGCATCAGGGACAACTCAACCTAAAAGTATAGAAGACGTTTAATACTAAAGACAAGCAGTCTCAAAACAGTGATAACTGCTCAGAAAGTGTAGCCTAGGTTATACGCAAATATCTTTCAGGCAACTGTCCTTATATGCTTATTTTTAAGTTTCTGATTTACAAAGGTGTTTTGAAATTTCTCTGTAATATCCAGTTATTAATATTTGCTGCTTGCTGCATATCGTCTTAATACATATATACTGCATACTATTTTTCAAAGATAAAAATTTTTCAAGTCTGTGGAGTGTGTGTGTGTGTGTGTGTGTGTGTGTGTGTGCATATGCATGTGTATATTTTTGTCTGTTTGCTTTTGAGGGTTAGCTTAGGGCATTACACATACTAACCGAACACTGTACTATTATGCTATACTCTCAACTCTGTTAGACCTTTAAATTTTTGTCCGCAGCTAGAAACATATTTCTGCGATAGTGGTATTCCTTAAAAATTGATTATTATACGTATCAGTTTCCTATGTAGAATTATGACATCCAATAAGCAATATTTATCATTACAAAACATGACAATGGTAGAAGTATAAAGTTGTTTAACAACAAATATATATCAAATATGGACAATGAATCATTGTATATAAAACTATATATCTATATAATGTATGCCACCTTCTTTACAGAATAAAGTAGTAAGAATATGAATGTAATTCAGATTATAATCTAATTGTTATATGTGCCTGTGTTAGAAAGATATGAGTATTTTAGGAAAAGGAACTGTTTGTTATTTTGGTGTAAACATTCCAGAATCTTCCCTGTCCTCACTCTACAGACAATGCACTATCTTGATGCACAGTATCTTTGGCTCAGTGATGAAAATATTGACACAGAGATATGTTATGTGTCAGCCATTTGTCTAACACTTTACATTTATTTAGTTCCTTATTTTTCCCTCCTATAATCTTATGAGTTAAATATTATTGCTTGAGTTTTATAAATAAGAAAGTTAATGAGTTGATTCCTACCTTGAAAGCGTTCACATGATGAGAGGAAAACAATCTACTACTTGAGTAGCTACAACCTACAGACGATATAGAAGCCCTGGTCACACCATAGCCATTGCTCCTTGACAGGATAGTCCTTTCTCAGCCGTAGGGGCTCGTTTGGAGGATAATAGAAAAATTTCAAGATAGTGAAAATAAAGGGTGAATGAAGATGATCAAATTATGGTATCTTTCAAAGAAATAGGAACTTGATTATGAACTACATCTAATGTAATTAAGAACTTGACTAAATTGAAACTTTATGGGTGGAAATCTGTGCTATTGATTTCTCTTTAACGTCTGTGTTTTTTATTTTTTATTTTCTGTGCAATAAAATTTGAACCTGGGAATCATAAAAACTTTTACAAACAATGGGGATCTCTATGGTAATTTATTAGACAATTCCATCATTGCTAAGAAAGTAATGGTGGTTGTTAGGGAGAGGGAGCTATCGCACAAATCCAGAATATGGCAAAAAGAATAAAACCCTAAGCAAAAATTGATGAAATTAAAAAAAGAAATCTATAAAAAATCAACAAACCTATGAGCTGGTTCTTTGTGAATATCTTAAATAATTTAAATTACTCCCTAGTTCAATGTTCTCATAATGATGTCTTATTTAAATTGTAAAATTAATATTTAACCTAAAATAGCTTCTAAACTAAAGCACAGTTGTGAAGGCAGATTATAGTTCATTTACGTTTCAAAATAGTACAGAGTAAATGATTCATGTTTATTTGGGGTTTTAGTCTTTCTTGGGTTGTGAAGCTTTCTCTGTCTCATCTGCTCCTGTTATGTCTTAATACCCACTTGGATGTTATTTGTGAAGTGCCAGGGACTCAAACTGTATCATTGTGATAGCAAGACAAGTTTGAATCCTATTCTCATAGCAGTTAACTCATATTGATTTCTTTGTAGTAGCTTTTGGAACATCAAGTAGTTTAGGAAATGGTGAAACATCATATTGAAGATGCAGAAAAAGAAAAAGGTGGATCAGTCAATGAAATCTGTCTCATAACTAGCATTGTTACCTTATATTATTTTCCATTATGTACCATTGCTTTCCTGCTCATAGTATCACAAACATACATATGCATATACATGTTTGATTGACAAATATCGGACTTTACAGGAATATATGACATATAAAACAGTGGAGTCTATGTTGGCTTTACCCAGCATTTTATACTCAATGTTAGAAGAGCACTGTGGAGGGCAAGTGCCTAAATGGCATCTGATGAATGAATGAATGAATGAATGAATGCAAGAACAAGCCAAAGAATATAGAACATTCATTGTATTGGCAATCGTAATTAATCTATTCTCAGCCTGTATTAGTACATAAGAGTCTTCATAAATAGAGTATTCGATGCCCTTCCACTTTGCACAAGTGCAAATAGTATTATTGCACACACTTTGTCAAGGATGTTTATCAGGAGACCAAAGACTAGAGGGATTCTAAGAGCATTTAACTTTCAGACCAACATTTTGACTCTCAGCTATCCTGAACTTCCATCTGTGCATTTCCCTTAACTTTACCCCAAAGAATATTTATTTTTTACATAAATGTTCTGTTATTTCTAATATAAAGTTCTCAACACAGCACCAGAGACAAGAGGCAAATGTTTAGTTTCCATATTGCAGGCTCTTAAGCAAAATAATTTATAAGACAAGACTCATTGACACCAAAATTATTTGAAGAAAATTTTCTGTTATTTCTTGATTTTATTATTTAAAACACCATTTGGTTCTCAGTTGGAAGGAGCATGTGATGTTTTTAAATGGTGGTTTAGAGTACTCTTTGTAAGAATAAAGGTTTATTTCATTGTAATTACAAAGTCCTGGAAAGCTACAAGATCAGATGAAGTTCTTTCAATCAATTCACAATTGTCCTTCACACCTGTTTGTTTCATGTTCTATAAGAATTGAAAGCATAATCAAGTAAAATCTCAACTTGTAGGTATATCCATGTCTTTTATTTTGAGATGGAAAGAAAGAGTTAGAGAGAGAGAGAGAGAGAGAGAGAGAGAGAGAGAGAGAGAGAGAGAGAGAGAGAGAGAGGCAGGAAAGAAAGAGAACACACAAAAATTTGGGTGGATGGGGAGGATCTGGGAGGAGTTGTAGGATATGACCAAAACATTTTAAGATAAATTTTATTTAAACATTCAGCATCATTGTCCATCAGGAAAATGCACATTTTAAAAAGAAAAGTCCTGTTGAAGGTTGGTTTTATTAGCAGATCGAGCTCTCTCCATGAAGGGAGTGACTATTATAGGGACACAGCAGTCCTGTCTCTTATGCTTACTCACTGGTAACTTTTTGCTACTATTCTGTGTTATACTTTTACAGCTTCTAAATGACTTTTTAATTCATAATATGCATTTTTAGATGAAATACAAATACAGGATCTTTTTGATACCGTAATTTGGAATGAATTTGTTTTTTTGCTTTGCTTGTTTCTGCTTACAAACTGAAACAGTTAAGTTTGCACATTGAGAGGTCTAACAATTACCATCATAATTACACAACTATGTGTCCAGGTTCTTTTGTTTTAGAACTCTTAAAAATGATGAGAATTCAACTAGATGCCATTTCTATGTAACTCTTCCTTTGACAAAAAAAAAAGTCCAATTTATTTTAAAAATCTAGATATTATAATTTAAGGAACTAACAGTATAAAATGTATTTATTGGTCTCAGATACATTTCTAATAGTCACTATTTTGGATTTACAGGTATGAATATAAGCAAAAGTGAAATAACAACTGAAGCGTCATTAAAACCATCTCGGAGATCCCTGCCTTGCCTGGCCCAGAGCTATGCTCATTCAAAAAGCTTGAGTCAATCTGCTTCACTGTTTCAGTCAACTGAGAGTGAATCTCAGGCTCCAACTTCTGTCACGTTTCTTTCTGCTGATAAACCTGAACATGGTAAGTGATAGTTACTTTTTGTAAACATTTACAAATAGTAAGTCATTTTTTTAAAATTGACTAAGCTGTTTATTTACTTTACATCCTGATAGCAGTTTCTCTCCCTCCTCTCCTCTCTCTCCCTACCTCTCACATCCTCTCCCCTTCTCCTTTACCTCTCCTCCCTTTCTCCTCAGGAAAGGGCAGGTCTCTCATGGATATCAACCAGCCATGGCATATCAAGCTGCAGTAAGACTAGGTGCATCTTCAGCTATTGAGGCTAGACAAGGCAACTCAGGGGAAAGGGATCCAACGGCAGCCAATGTAGTCTGAGACAGCCCTTGCTCTAGCTTTAGGAATCCCATATGAAGTCCCAGATGTACAACTGTTACATAAATGCAGAGGGCCTAGGTTTGTCCCATGCATGCTTGCTGGTTGGCAGTTCAGTCTATTTGAGCCCCTATAGGCCCAAGGTTGTTGATTCTGTAGGTTTTCTTGTGATGTAATTGACCCCTCTGGCTCCTTCAATCCTTCCTACCCATATTCCACAAGAGTCCCCGAGCTCTAATTATTATTTGTCTATGAGTCTCTGCATCAGTTTTCATCAGGTGCTGAGTAAAACTTCTCTAATCACAGTTATGCTTGGCTGTCTGAAAGTACAACAGAATATCATTAATAGTGTTAGGAAAAGAATAAATAATTTTGACAATTGCTTTCTTCCTGCTTCGCTACATCTGCCTAGGATTTATTGAGCTCTTTAGGAATAAGTATGGCAAAAGGAGAGCATTACAGTATTTGAGTCATGGAAAAGGCAGCTTGTTGGCTAGCTTTATTTATTCTGTCTTACTTTAGAGGTTGCTTATCCCAAGAGAATCTGAACCTCATATTGGATGTGTTAAGGGGAAGCAAAGCCCATCTTGTGAAACACCAGATCATAGGGTCCATATTTTATATCCCTTTTGTTAGGACACCCCTGGTAATAATTTACAGACCATATTCAAGAATATGTCAGAAATAAAGAATTCTATTTCCTTATATAAAAAAGGACCACCTGAAGACACTCAAAGGAATCTTACACAAAAATGAAGAAATATATACACAAGCATAAAATCTCTGGATAAATTAAACCTAATTTGAAAAATAGATAATTGAACAATAATGAGGAAAAATACAAAACATTTAGTAAATTATGAACTTTCCAAGATAAATAAAAGAGAAAAGATTACACATACTACCTTAAACAACCAGTAAAAATCAATCCTCAAAATTCCATCAATTAGTAAATACCTTTACATTAAAATCCTATCCATAAATAATCTTAATTCTGAAGTAATGGCCTGGACTGACTCATTAGAATACAAAATAAGATACAGGCCTTCCTGTCATTAGGAAAATCACATGTGTGCTATATAAACACATACTGAGTGTGAAACAGATAAGCAGCATAGACAAGACCTGCAGAAAATCAATCCAGACAAAATCTTTGGACAGAGGAGGAAAAGTAAACGTCAAGTCTCATTCCTAGCCAATATGCTATTCACATCTGATACTTGCTATTAGACAGAAAATAAGCTTTATTCTATGACATAACATAGGGTGTACCAATCATACTCCAGGGCAGGTTTTATAATCAGTAGTTGGCCAACACAAAGGGAACTCGTGTGTGTGTGTGTGTGTGTGTGTGTGTGTGTGTGTGTTTGTGTGTATGTGATTGTGTGTGTGTGTCTGTGTTTGTGTTCGTGCACGCACACAGGTGCATTTGAGTGCATGTGTGTGTGTTAAAACAACATGAATTTGGTAATAATATCACCATGTATGAAATTCTCAGAAAATAATTAAAAGCATTATTTTAAAATCTATTAAAATGATTGAGGGTTGATTTCATTCTATAAACGCAAGGGTGGATGGTTCAACATGTGCAAGTCAATAGACAAAGTACGTGAGGTAAAGAAACAGAAGGATCAAAATATCAGAATATTCTTAAAAGAAGCACAAAGAAAGACCACTGAAAAATTCACCTCCCTTTTACCATGAAAATTCTTGAAGAAATTAGCAATAAAAAGAATATGGTTTTAAATAACAAATTACATTAGTTGATCAATTAATTGGGCAGAAGTGGAAACATTTCTTTGCAATTAGAATGATATGGGTATCCATTTTTGCCTACTCTTACTCAATACAATGTTTTTAGTCATAGCACTCAACAGGGTTAGGCAGAGAATCGTGATGCTGAGGTCAAACTGGACCATGTTGTCAGTACCAGTCTAACCTGTCCTTCTTAGACACTGTCTCATTCAAACAAGGAAGCATGTAAACAAAATCGCACTACACTTCCACGCTAACAAAAACAACATGGCACTGACATAATATTAAAAATATAGACAAATGAGTCTCTGTAGCTTTAGCCGTCTTATTATTGATGATGCCAGAAGATATGTTGGAGACATAGAAGAATCTTTAGTAAACATTAGGAAAAACTATATCCACGTGCAGATGAAACTGCATACCTCTGTCTCATCATCCACAAAAAGCAAATCAGAATGTATCAAAGATCTTGGCATAAACCTGAAACATTGAACCTAGTAGGGATAAATAAGAATAACACTTAAAAATAATCTATAGAGTTCTTGAATAGGGATTCAGTAGTTTAGAAAATAATATGAACTGACAAATGGAATTCCATAAAATTGAGGAAGACATGACTTACAGAATGAGAGAAAGTCTTTGTCAGCTATTCATTTGCTGGTGGGTTAATTTTGAGAATAAAGAACTATAAGAAAAAAAACTTAAGGAACAAATCATCAGAATGATCAAAGAAGCTAAGTAGGCACTTTATAAGTGGGAGAGTAAATGGACACCAAACATGTATAAAATGTTTGATAAATGAAGTCATCAGGGAAATGCAGTTTAAAGCTATACCAGGATCCAGGCTTGGTAGAATATAACTGAAACCTAACACTGTGGACATGGAGACTATAAAATCATTAATTTGAGGCCAGCATAGCAAAACTCTTTCAAAACTAATGTGGGCTATATGATATTGATCTATCTAAACTAAACCAAACAACAACAACAACAAAACCAAACACAAATGACAACATCAAAATCTATATTTTCCTTCCATCTCATTCCATTTGGAATGGCTATCAGCCAAACAACAACAAAAAATTTTACAAAACAAAAAAATAAAACACACTAAGGAATTTTGAGGGAGGATACACATTTTTTAAAAAAAATCATAGGCTCTATTTAGGATGTAAAATTGTGTGTAAATTTATTACAAAATGCATCTCTATGCCACTAAAGCAATCAGAGTCCACATATTGTAAAGATACCTACATACCCATGTTTATCAATGCTGCATTAATAATAGATTTTACATACCATTTTATGCCTATCAATGCATAGATGTGTAGATAAATGTGACCTATATTCATAACGGAATAGTGTCTATGAAGACAATGAAAAGAGAGCTTGTTACATCAAAAAGAAAGAAAGAAAGAAGGAGCAAAATTGAAGACAACCATGTTTAGTGAAATAAGTTCCGACTCAGAAAGGCAAATATGCTTTGAATCTTGCAGGGAGGGGAGTCAGGAAATAAAATCAATGTAAAACAATAAGAGGGTAATAAAGAGATCAGTAAGAGGCAGGTGAGGGAAAGAGTGGGAAATGGGAGGGGCAGGACAAAAGTACATTTCAGGAATGTAAGAAAATTTTGCAATGAATCCAGTTGTTGTGGGACTAATATGTTTAAAAATAAGAAACACCAACTCTTTTAATTGAAGAATTGATTCCTGAAGATAGGGTAGTATTGACAACAAAACAAGTTTGAGTTTTAAGAATATATGAAAAAGATGCCATAATGCAGAAGATAAGGACCTAACTGAGAGACTCTGGTTCACACATTCACTTGTGTAAGACACGTCACAAGCATCTTACATGAACATTTATGACCTGGGGTTGACTTTAGACTACCCAAGTTCATAAAATCAAACCATACTCTGTTCTTCAATGGACATTTATATTTCCCCATTCTTCTCTTGACGTTTGTTTTATGACAATATACTTCTTGTGAGTCTCTTTAACTTCTTCTCCTGTGTACCTTGAGAATACTAGAATTTTATTTTCAATAATACAGCAATATGTTGTATTTTATTCAACTTAAAGTGATATGCAACAACGTGTTAATTGTTCAAGATAATGAACAAGGTAAATGTAACAAAGATGGTGTTTTGTTGAAAGTTGAATTTTAACTATTGCTTACATATTTTAAACTTCAATAGATTTGCTTAAAACATTTCATCTTGAGTATCATTTAAACATCAAAATCACTTTCTAGCTATGTGTTTATTTCTCCAAATTACAAAGTGTCTCTTTTTTCCCCCAGTTACTTCTGATGAGAGTAAAAAAGATTCTACCCTTAAGTGTTCCTTTGCTGACCTCAGTGAGTTTTGCTTGGGTGAGTTAATTTCCAGTATTTTCCCCTTTTTCCCTTTCTCCAAGAATAAAGTATATTCTTCAAACCTAGAACAATTTTTTTATAAAAATGTTCTTGCTTGGTCTTTAAAATTTGAGCAATGAATATAAAAATCTGAGGTTTATAATTATTAATTGATTGATTATATAATTTAAAATTCAAATAATATAAGGAAACTATAATGAATAATTCTATGACAAAGTCTCAGTGAATTTTTCTTCTCTTATAAATTTCTTTCAGTTCTAAACAAGTATGTGCATTTACTCTGGTATGATGAGATGTACCAAATTTTGTCACCCAATATTTTTCATGAGAGTAAAAGTTGAAGGTCTGGCCTAGTCCTTCAGTAGTGGATAATATTGTTTTTTTGTTGTTGTTGCTTTGTTTTTTGTATATGTTCTTATAAAGTTCAAAGTGAATCTACTTATTTCAAACAGCATTTGATCATGAATTTTCTTTATGAAAACAGTGTTGGTATTTTTGAATTGCCTACAAGTTTAAATATGAACAAATTGAAGGCTCCTGGGAGTTTTGAAATTCTCTGATCCCAGTAACACAGGGTCACATGAATATCAATACTTTTTGTTGGTTCCTGGATAAACATTAGTGTGTTAAAGATTAAAAATGTCTAATCTAAAATGTTTATCTTGTTCTATTTCCTATGACATTGTCAACACATTTCAGCATCTCCAAATTCTTGAACTGTATTATTTGCAACAATATTCTGAAAATTAAAATTTAATCGTGTTTTTTATTACCTTTCAATCTGTGTGGCATAGAAACAAGGTGAGTTTATTAATTTTCTAATTAAAACGTTATCTGGTTCATTTCACATAAAACATCAAAAGGAACATTTCATCACAGCAAAAGAAAGGTCTTTGCTATTTTACTTCATTCTGTAGCATGTTCCTCAGGCACTCATTTTCTGAGAACAAAACATGGAAATACTTGATTTTCTTTCTTCTACATAACCACACAGGTAGCAAAGTTTCTACTGATTTTTCACTAAATTAATATCAATCAGTTATTTAATAGTTTTGCAAGACATAAAATACTTTCTTCAAAATACACTGATCTTATTTTAGAAAACTTATTATTTCAAAAGCAAATCACTTTTCAAAACCCAGTATAATGGGAAGAAACCATGTTTTCGTCATTTCTGCGGGTATCAACCCATCTGATGTTTATTGGCATCAATCAACTTTTCCAACCTTACACTTGATATCTTATAATTGTCAGTCTTTTATTATTGATTCATGTTAAAGAAATAATAAAGCTTCTGTAAAATTAGACACACACTCACAGAGGAGGAATAGAAATAAATCATATTTAAAAGGAAAACTCCATTACAATGCAAGTTTTGTAAAACTAACTTTTATTCTCCTGGTTTAATTGTCATCTGGAGGCTTACTACCTACTTAGGTCTCATCCTAGAAGCTTCTAGCCTCTATACAATCTTATCTAGTCCTAGAATGTTTTCAGCCTCTGAGACTTATAGCTGAATACATTCTCCCTTTCTAGCTTTTTGAGAACTCTGGCTGCCCTCTCAACTCTGCTGTTCTATCTCAAAACTTCTCATTCAATCTGGCTTCTTTTGGCCTCTCCTGAATTGCTCTGCTTGGCCTTATACTAACTTTGGCAATATCTTCTAATCCTCTAGCTCTTTCTAATTCTTTGGCTTATTTTGCCTTCTTGTTCTGTGTTTAGCTTATTCTCTTTCTGAGACCTGTCTCTGTACATTTCCCTTCATGAGACTGCCTTTTCCTTTTGCTTTCTTTTCTCTGTGCTGTTTTACTTTTTTTTTAATTTATTTATTTATTTATTTTTTGAACATGAAATGCTTTTTTATAGCATGTTTTACAAGGGGAGGGGGTAAGAGGGGCCAGGTGGTGGAAAAGTACAAAATCTTCTTGGCCTGTGCCTTGAAACATGTCATGGTCTATACGGTACACTGCCTTGAATTATGATCTACCTGCTGTTCTTCAGAAGATATGGTACACTGCTTGAGTTGTGGTCTCCCTGCTATTCTTAAGATGATATGGTACACTGCTTTGAGTCTATCTGCAGTTGCTAAGCAGGATCTTGCAGTTGCCAAGCTTCAGAGGACATTGTGCAGGTGGGGAAAGGTAGGGGGTGAGGGTAAGGGCGAGGGTCCTGGCTTCTGGCATCTCCCCCTTCTCTGTTTAGTTAGAGAAGGCATCTTATGATCAATCCCAACTATGTGAATTTTGAATTTGGATGTCTAATTATGGGGGTCTTAGACAAGTTCACAACCCCAAAACACTGATGTGAGACGAGTCACATCGATGGTCGAATGTTTTAGGCTGTCGACGATGGGCAACGTCAAGGGACTCCGATGTGGGTGAAAGGAGGGTGAGAGCCCTGTCTTAGGCCGTGTAGGCTGCACCCACTCCCAGCACCACGCACTCCTTTTCGGCTGCATTGGGTGGGCCCCTGGGAAGTGGACCTACAATAATCCCATCATTGGGCTAACTCACAGCCCTCCTAGTCCCTTGTAAATGTTCAATTTACCAACCATTTGTCAGTTTGGGGTGTAATATTGTCATAAAGGAAGGCTCCCCAATGTGTGCTGTTTTTCTTAAATAGCTTCCTCTTAAATAGCTTCCTGTTTTTCTCTCTGCCACTCAATTAGACAACACTTTCACACATGGGTGCTTCCTTCTACAAACTAACTTTACCTTCATTATTTTGGATTAAAATGTATACTGAGGGCATGGCTATATTCTCAACAGGGGAGTTAAAACTATGTACAAAGTCTGAGCTACACCACAGGTAGAAACAGGATTTTTTGGTAAAAAATACAATCTCATGTTCACAATGTGATCAAATATCCTGCAACAATCTTTTCAATATCTGTGTGACTGTAAATTTCTAAACACCCACATAATGCATGTGGTTGTAGTCCTTAGTCAACAGAATCTTTTTTTAATATTTTATTTTCAATCAATTATTTATTTGCTTTACATTCCAATATCAGGCCCCTTCTCTTCACAGTACCCATTCAAACAAATCCTCCCAACATTCCCCCTCCCCTTCTTCTCTGAAAATGGGGAGACTTCTTTGGGTAACACACACATACACACTCACCACCCTACCCTAACTCTACCCCCAGCACATCAAGTCACTGCAGGACTAGGTGCATCCCTTCCCACTGAGGCCAGACAAGGTGAGTCAGTTAGGGGAATAGATCCACAGTCAGGCAACAAATTCAGGACAGCCCCTGCTCCAATTGTTGGGAAATCCACATGAATAACAAGCAACATTTCTGCCACATAAATGTCTGGGCCCTAGGTCCAGCCCATTCTTGCTTGATTTTTGGTTGGTAGTTTAGTCTCTGGGAGTTCCCAAGCATCCACATTAGTAGGCTCTGTTGATCTTCCTGTGGAGTCCCTGTTCTCTTCAGGTGTCTCAATTATTTCCCAAAATCTTCCACAAGATTTCCTGAAATCTATCTAATGTTTGGCTATGGGTCACTGCATATGTTTCTACTGGCTTCTGGGTGGAGCCTTCCAGAAGATTATTTTGCTAGGCTCCTCTCTGCAAGCATAACAGAGTATCTTTAGTAGTGTCAGAGATTGGCTCTTGCCCATGGATACATCTCAGTTTAGGCCAGCCACTAGTTGTCCTGTCCCTCAGTCTCTGCTGTATCTTTGTCCCTGAACATCTCCGTGGGCAAGACATATTTTGGGTCAAAGGGTTGGGGGGTGGGTGGCTGTCCTTATCCCTCTGTTGGGAGTTCTGCCTAGGTACAGGAGGTAACCACTTCAGGATCCCTATTCCCCACGGATAGGATTCTCAGCTAAAGTGGCTTCCATAAACACCCTGGGACCTCTCCCAATCCCAGGTTTCTGAAATGTCCTAGAGTTGTCCCCCAACCCCTGATTTCCATTATCTCACCAATACCTTCCCTACACCTAATCCTCTCCCCCTCCACTCTACCACCTAGTTCCCTCTATCCATCTACCTATAATATCTATTTTATTTCACCTTATGAGAAAGATTCAACCATCTTCTCATGGACATTACTTGTTACTTGGTTTCTTTGGTCTGTAGTTCATAGCATGGTTATCCTGTACTTTTTGCCTAATATCCACTTACAAGCGGTTACATACCATGCATGTTCTTTTGGTTAGGGTCACCTTATTCAGTTCCATCCATTTGCCTGAAAAATTCATGATATCGTTGTTTAATAGCTAAGTAGTATTCTATTGTATAAATAAACCATATTTTCTTTATCCAGTCTTCTGTTGAGGGACATCTAGGTTGTTTCCAGTTTCTGGCTGCTATTAACATAGTTGAGCAGGTGTGTTTGTAGGATGGTGGAGCATTTTAGGGTATATGTCCTGAAGTGGCACAGCTGGGTCTTCAGGTAGATTTTTTTTTTTTTTTTTTTTTGGTTTTTCGAGACAGGGTTTGTCTGTGTAGCCCTGGCTGTCCTGGAACTCACTCTGTAGACCAGGCTGGCCTCGAACTCAGAAATCCTCCTGCCTCTGCCTCCCAAGTGCTGGGATTAAAGGCATGCACCAGCACCGCCCGGCAGGTTCTGTTTACAATAGATGGTAATTACCTCAGAGGCCCACAACTGGCCAAAGGACAGAGACTGAAAGACTGCAGAGTTCTCATTTGTTACTGAACATATATACTACATCCCTTCTTCCAATGAATCAAGAATCATGGTGGAAGTGGGGGAAAGAAAGAGTGTAAAGGCATAAGAAGGTGGATGACTACAAGAAAACAGTGTCTTCAGGACAAAGTAGCGACGATGCCAATGTAAACTCACAGTAGTTATTTCAACATGCACAAAACCTATGCAGTCCCAAACCAGACCAAATTCTATCGTGGAGGTTGAGATTGGCCGTGAAATTCAACCCCTACCCATTTGGGATATTGTGAATGCTACTGGGAGAGGAAAAGAGTTTTCTCTAGAGTGTAACTCCCAGCAATTCTGCTACTTTCTAGTA